TACCGCGATCACTGAAAAAAACGAAGCCTTCTCTTTATTTCCGTTAGGTTATAAGTTCTGCTTGTCAGGTTATTACCGTTACATACGAGCACATACGAAAGTGATACATGACTAATTTTAATGGCGTTGATAAAAATTGATAAGATTGAAATGATATTGGAAATTGCTGCTTGATTTAAACTCCAAGAATATCCATCGTGCATAAGACTGATGATTAGTTTTGAGGATCCCAAAATTTGAACGGTTTTTATTGTTTAAAAAAAAAAAAAAAAAAAAAAAAAAAAAAAAAAAAAAATTATTATTATTATTTAGTGAAACAAAGCCTGTAGGTTTCATTATCACTTCACTTAATACATGCACGACTTTTTGATTTCGGCGCTTGTTTAAAGATTAAATGAACATTTGAATGGCATTTCCGTTGGTCCTCACAGATATTCTGTTGCTATCGGAAAAAAAAGTTGAACTGTGGTAAGTTGCAATTGCGCAAAAAATATGAACCAGAAGAATCCGAAAATTCCCCATTATCTGATGTCACACTTGTATATCTCAATGCAGACCGTGAAAAAATGTTTATACAGGGTGATCCAAAAGTCCCTTCCACCCCCTCTAACTTTTTACCTAATTGAGATAAAGATTTGAAACTTGGGGGATATTCCTAGGTCAAAGGGAGCTACTTTTTGGCCCCCCTAAAATTTTCAGGGGGGCCCCCCTTGGGGGGCAACGGCCCCCAACTTTTAATTTTCAAATGGGAAGACCCCCTTTGTGATAGCTCGTTCGAAAGAGCATAAAAAAAGAAAACTTTTCGCGCAAACCCGAAGTCAATATCTCAAACCGTTTCAAAATGGCGGCCGGTTAAAGTTTAAAATGGCCGAAAATTCACACCGGTTATTTGTCGATGGATTTGCGCGAAAATCGGTATGTAGGGGTATTTTGACACGAGAAAAACGAATCTGACGTTAGATTTTCAAAAAAACCGAAATTTCCAAAATGGACGCCGGTTAAAGTTTAAAATGGCCGAAAATTGTCACCTCGGTTTTTTGCTGATGGATTTGCCTAAAACTTGGAATTTGAGAGTATTTTGGCATAAGATAAACAAATTTGAACTTAGATTTCTAAAAAAATCAATTTTTTGTCATTTTGAACTTTAACCGGCGGCCATTTTGAAAATTTCGGTTTTTTTTGGAAATCTAACGTCAAATTCGTTTTTCTCGTGTCAAAATACCCCCACTTACAGATTTTCGCGCAAATCCATCGACAAATAACCGGTGTGAATTTTCGGCCATTTTGAACTTTAACCGGCCGCCATGTTGAAACGGTTTGAGATATTGACTTCGGGTTTGCGCGAAAAGTTTTCTTTTTTTATGCTCTTTCGAACGAGCTATCATAAAGGGGGTCTTCCTATTTGAAAATTAAAAGTTGGGGGCCGTTGCCCCCCCCCAAGGGGGGCCCCCCTGAAAATTTTAGGGGGGCCAAAAAGTAGCTCCCTTTGACCTAGGAATATCCCCCAAGTTTCAAATCTTTACCTCAATTAGGTAAAAAGTTAGAGGGGGTGGAAGGGACTTTTGGATCACCCTGTAATAAGCCAAACCGTTATCAGTGGCATTAGCCTGAAGAAACTTTCGCGATGGAACGCTAACTCCGTCCGTTGGCTATATACAATAAGTCTAATCTAGAGACTGTATATTTCAACCAAAACCCGATAAAATTATGAGAAATTTCATGACATTCCGGTAGTTTCATTACGTTCCGCAGATCGCAAATTCACTAGATCATGACACCCGGCACTTATTACCGGGAGCGGGCAAGGGGGGCTCAAAATTAATTTTTCTTATGAGCACGTGCACGGTGAATACGGTGATGTATCCGATAAGTCTAAAGCCACGTACGGCATCCCCTACAGTGACAATTTCAGTTTCAAAGAGTATTTCAGGAACCGTAGAAGTTTAGAAATCACCATAAAAGAAGAGAAAGGAGAGTAAACATTAGTGCACAAAAAAATGTTAGTATCTTTTGAGTAACTACTGTGTTATCACCGATTAGTATGAAACAACACAGGATACAATGTGTTAATAGTGGACCGACATGCACGAGTAACTTTATGACGTCATTCCCTTACATATAGAAGGTTTCAACATTTTTATTTCTTCAGGTCACATGCAGAATCCCAAAACGACAACAACAAAAACATTGACATCAGCCTGGGAGCCTATTAGGTATATGTGTTTACCCCGATGGGCCAAGGCTCGCCCACAAGCTCCACACATCAGACTGAGAAAAAATGTTTCTGTTAGGAAGGCCGCGACAGAAGTTCATGTCGAAACATTGCGGCTTCATTAGTAACTACAGTTTACGCCTCGACGTAACATTGAATGCATGATATTGAAGCGTGAAGATGGAGAAATGCGTACTTTACTTGTTTCAAGATTAAAACATGTTCGATCCTATTACTAAGAGAAGTGCGCATTTTGTGCATCAAGAAAATGTCTTTCTAGTTAAGAAAGAGTCTTTTGAAGAAATAGTAATGTGAGGCAAAGGCCAACTAAACAGGTTCTATGATGTTGCGAATAAACATATGTACCACATTTTGCGATACGGAGCCACTATTTCTGGCTCATTTTAGAAACAACATGTATACCATTGGTTTCTCTAAGTAGGCTTTTAAGAAAGGGTCAGAGACAGTGGTTCCTCATTATAAAAGCAATCCATATGATGAAGAAACTAGACTGGCCGCAAGAGAAAAGAAAATATGGTCTTTGAAATATGAAGTTCATATTTCGTATACAATTGGATCTATAACAAACTTGTCCATGGAGAAAATTATGATTCAAATTGAATGTAACAGTAGAGTAGATAAGTGTTCTGGATAGGAAACAACATCTCATATGCCTCTTAAAAAAAGGAAATGCTTTGTCTTTTCTTTTTTGCAGATGCTTTCGAAAGACGCATCAAGAAGGAAGACCTAGACGCAGGGGACGATGAATTGAAAGAGAGGAAGAAAATAATTAAGGGAGCGATTGGAGACAGAATAAAGTATCTCAGAGTTGGCGACAGCTAAGTGATTACACCATCATTTTATTCATTTATTGTTTTCTCATTCACCACGTATTCATTTATTTGTTATTTTAATTTTTTTGTTGAAGACTGATGATAATAAAAATCAGTAAATTTATTGATTTTTGACTGAATTAATCATCATTTTCATTTTCTCTTACATCTTTATTTTGGAAATTATTCAATTTCCATGAACAATTTGGATGGTACTGAAACCATCTCGTGAAACTTTTGTATGGAAATGGTTTCGTTTCCACGAAAAACTTTCATGGAAATGGTTTCGTTTCCAGCCACAGCCACATGGAAATATTTCCCGTTCCATTTTTCCGTGTCATTTTTTCATTGAAATCATCCACACGGAACATTTTTAGCAGGGAATGTACTCCCGAAAGCTTCACCTGGGTGTTCAACCCCTCTCACGGCAGAAACGGACGCAAAGGTGGGCTTAAAGGCTTTGTCATTACTGACACTCAATTTTATGGAAGTAAATTGACAAAAAATTGGGAAAAACAACATTTAGCCTTTTCCCAAAATTTCCACCGTTAAACTTCGTTATAACAAACGTCGGTATAGCGAATTCTTTGACTTAACGAATTTTTTTCGCGTTTTTTTGAAACGTTCAAAGCATTCTTGTGTCAAGAATCAAACGTTGACCCTGCCGTTTTGGATCAGAGATGATGGATCGAAATGTATTTAACGACGATCGTCATTGCCCGCCAGAAACAATCAACACTGGACTCGTTCATTCGTAGAAAGTAATTTTACAAATGCAGACTCTGCCGTTTTGGATCAGATAATTTTACTGTGCTGTACATAAAAAGTAATATAGGGAAATTGTTTCTTTTGTAATACCTAATCTTGTTTCGTATTTTTCTTCCCGGCAATTTCCCGTACCTACATCGTCGTGCTCATTAGGAAACTGGAGAAATCGAATATTTTCAAAAAAATTTGCAGCCTAACATCGGGTTTTTCGCGGGTTTCAATGTAACGAATTTTTCGGTCCGTCCCCAGAAATTCGTTATATCGAAGTTTTACTGTGCAACCCCACAACAAGTTCACGTTAATTCCTAAAAAACTTGTGGTTGGTTTCAAATATCTACTGATGGAGAATACCCTTAGTACGGGAATATCCCGATTTTGGGTATTTTACAATCTGCCCGGGCCGTTTAGAAATACAGTAAGTAAGAAAACACTTAAAACAAGTGAAGCTAATTTTCTAATACTTCAAATCAGCTCAAATGTAACGGTACAATTCCTTGACTTTTCCAGATAGCCGTATCTTTCTTGAGACACAGAAACTTAACGTTGATAAGCATGAAGGAGAGAGAAAAAATAGAAAAATGAGATGTAACATAAGAATTAGAGATGTTCGATGAATTACAAACTTGAACTAGCTAGGTTTTCCAGACCGCCGTCCTGTGGATCGAGTCAACTAGAGAAGTGGGACATGAAATTAAGGACTAAAACTAAGATTTTTTATGTTTCATTAGTAACATTTTAAATTTTGAGGAGTAACTCCAGAAGAGAATTTCACGAGGAAACCACTGGAATGATTTTTGGAACCTCCAAATTTTGCATTAACGGAGTAAAAGGCGTTTAAAGTTTCAAAATTTGTCCGACCTCTCCTATTTACTCGTTCCACTGTGCGCAGGCAACCCAGTTTTCTCAAAAAGATTTCATACACTCGACATATTTCATGACAGAGGGTGCTTTCCGTTAATTATCAATGGATAAGGACGCGTTCGCGGCGACGGGTGCACCCACGAGTGTTTTAACAGTGTTTTTTTAGTAAATTTTAATTATATACGATGTGACTTTTAGTGTTTACCAAATCGAAGTCGAAGTTACCTGATGATGATGATTAACATAGAAATAGCTATCGTCTAAAATCGGATGACAAGTGATCGGGAGAAAGGCAATATCATCAAACAAAATTATCGATGAATTACCTGGAATTAGACTGATGAAAACAAGCGAGACAAGCGTGTGAATCAAAGTGGTAATCCATTGCATCGCGGCTGCGCCAACTTTTCGGCGCGCACGCACGCGGCTCGATTTTCCCGCGCAAATTCCGACACCGACTCACAACACATTCATCGCGCTCGGAAACGATTCGATTTACAATTCGACCTGTATCAGCTGCTGCTAACCGAGGATGGCACCATGGTCGTAAGAACTAAGACTTTTTGATTCCGCTTCTCGCACCGATCGACCCCAACTAGCTATCGGAAAAGTTTGAACTTTATTTTGAACTTGGATCCCATGCTTGGGGCCGCACTCATAGGAGACGGTCGTAGCAGTAGCCGATCGAGTTCATCTCGAAGCGCTTCCGGTGGATTTTTACCGATCACCGCGGGACAACTGATGCATGGGTCGGAACCGCACTCCTTAGAATCTTGAAACTGCCACTGTTAAACTTAACGAAAATTTGATCGATTTTACCTCTTGGGAAAACGCTGGAAAATTTGTCGGTCACCAGGGATGAAGGGGAGGGTATGGTCGCGGGTCGGGAGAAAGGGCCGGATGATAAAGCACAAGGCACGAGCGAGCGTTTCCACGATGCCGCGATGGTCGGTGTGCAACAGAAACTGGTGCGATCGGGGAAGCGCTGCGCGCGCGCGGTCTCGAACCGCGGGCGGGAGGGACCCCGCGCCGCGCCGGTCGGGCCGCGGGAAAGGACCATGCTGCCATGCTAAGGAAAAACGCCGTTAAACTAAATTGTACTTATTTCAGGAACGTCCCTTGATTTAAAACCAAAGGATTTCAATGTGATAAACTTAATTGTATTGAGGTCTGAAAAGAATATGTGTGTTGTTCCTAAATCTTGTTGTTTCAATCATTGTTTCGAAATCCTTTCTAGATTACTTTCTGGGTCGTATTTTACACAAATAATTGGAAGCTTCTGTATTTTGTTGCTGATACCCATGTTTTTAGACTCTGTAGGTCGAATAAAATTGTAAAACTCACTTGCACGTAAAAATAGGTCTCTATAGGTCGACCAAATGCTGTGTTAAAAGTACTTGGTGATGATTCTATTTTTATTTTAAATGAAATTGTGATTGAAGTAGATTTTATCGCTAAATTCTTTGAACCGTTTGGAATGATTGTAAACGTTGATAAGACGATTGTGACTAGGAACTTCCTAGCCATCCTTTTCTTAGGCACCACTTTTACGGTTCGCGTGTGAAGCGGCCCGAGTTTACTTGTACCAGTCTCTCCTTCTACAGTAAAAACCCCATTTTCACTCCTTCTCAAAGTATAGTGCGGATCACTAAAGCCTACTTTATGATGCTGATTTCAATAGCCATGCATTGCACAAATTGTATAAGTTGTTAAATAATTAATATAATGTTAATTGGTCGCTTGAAGGCACTAGACCTGCACCTGTTGTTCACCCTTTCACTTATCTATTTGTCTATGATGATATTCATGTTGTTTAGATATTTTAAGAGTTTTAAGATATTTTATTCAAGACTTCCAGTTTTCTACCTTACAAATAGATGAAAATGAGAAAGACTGCCGACCGAATAAATAATCAGATTCGAGACGGCGAGGTGGAATGTGCCGTCAAAAAATAATAAGTTGACGACAAGGAATTTCGAGTAAATGGCTTTGGGGCCGGAGCCGCCGAAGATCGGAATCAGCTTTCAGGGTGCGGGGGTCACTCCTCGTCCCAGGATGCCGGACACCGGCCAGTGAAAGCTGCACAGAAAGTTTGTTTCGAATTCTCCGAGTCGGGTGTCAGCATCGAGTAGATTTCAGAACCGAATCATGTGATCTGAAGCTCTCGTCAAGCACCAGAAATCTTCCCAGTGCAAATAAGTAAGTAGGTGGGAACAGGGAGCCTGTATGCTTTATCAAGTTTTTCAAAAACAAATGAGTGAAGCGATTTAAAAAATGCTAACGTCCTGAAGAATTGAATGGATAGTAATTGACTGGCGGAAAAGATAATGAACGAAGAAAACATCAAACAGAACTTAACAGGCGTAGATCCAAACGAAAATAAAACAAAACAAACAAAGTGATTATGTCTGTTCTCTATCTAGCATCTAAAATTGTTGTTCTAAGCTTAGCTAAGATTCAAACAAGTTGTCAAAATACTTGTTTTTTCAGGCTAAGGTTAGTACTTACCAACCAATTACAGGCAAATCCTAATGTCTTAATTTTAAAACCTAGTGAGGTTCTTAGGAGACAACACTTCACTGACCTAGGCAGCCACCTAAACAGTAAGGGAAAATCCACCTTTGCTAAACTTCTATCTCAAACTTTGAGTCTTGACTTGAATAGTCCTCAGGTCCATCTGACCCAAATCACGCCAATTCATTCCTTTTCTCATCTCTGACACCCCCCCCCCCCCCCACGATCTGATCCTTTACTGGTTTATGACTAAGAATCGTAAGAATCCCAAGTTATTGAAATTCTGACATTCTCAATATTACACCCAGACATTTATACACAATCTGAAGCAAGAACGATGTTTTTTTTTTTTTAATATTTTATGATAGAAGACATTTTACCACGTGTGAATATTTAGTGAGTCGGCAGCAGGCAGTATTATTTATCCTTGAAATCACTAATATACAATAACCTATGACTTACCGCAGTACTTGTTTTGAACAAAACCCTTCAGTACTAAATAAATTAAGTAGCTAATCTTCAAAGCTAATAACAAGTGTGGATTAATTGTCTAGCGCGAAACTGGCGGAACTATCCAACGTATTGAGCAGGAGTCAAGTGGGACAAGTCCTATACGACAGAGCGATATTTTACTCTATCGTTTCGGATAAACCAGACAATAGAAACGAGAATAGGAACACGATCGAACAGGTAAGTTTCCTTTTTCCAAATCCATTGCTTTGGGAATAAATTGGTATCTCAGAGACTTTTAATGAGGTGAGGGGATGGAGGTGATTTTTTGACCGAATCAAGTCGGACAGGATTCAATTTCGAGCAATTTTCTCCTAAATTCACAGTCAACGACCCAATCTGTTCGCAGCAGAAGGTCCGGTCCTCTCGCCGGAGCTGCCTTCAATCTTCGACGAAGCATTCTGAAAGACATTCACAAAAATGGGAAAATATCATGCTTTCTGTTCCCAGGGATGCAGACACCAGTGGGTCCAGTGACGAGTAACAGGGCGAAAAGGAGATAAACACGTTGGGGAACACGGGGAGGATTTTTTTTTTTTTTTTTTCTTTCTTTTTTTTTTCATGCCGTTCAACACGTACCACCCACAATCTAGAGTCCCTTTATACCCAGAGTTAAGACAACTCACTTTTGGTTGGGCTGAAAGTGGCCTAAAAAAAAATCCAATTCTGATTGGTTCTCGCTCATGGAGGCCGAAACGAGTGCACCAAGATGGCGGTACCTCGAATGTGAACAAGAATAATGAAAATATTACCTAATTGTGGTTCATCAAGAGTAAATTATTATTTCCATCGATCCAAAATGAAAATAGATTAAGAAATTATTCACAAACCAATCTCATTTTCTTTTTAATTGATCAATTTGTTGATGTTGTTGTTTTTGTTTGACAGACATCGCAGGATTCCTGATCCTTATCCCTCAATATCGTTCGTTTGGGTGCACTCGTTTCGGCCTCCATGGCCAGCCAAGGCCGGCTGCCAGTCAGCTGATAATCGAGTTGTCTTAACTCTGGGTATAAAGGGACTCTACCACAATCTACCCACTCAAGGCGAGAACAGTTATTAAAGAACAGCAGTTAAGCACATCCCTAGCCTTTGGTACATGAGCGTGAATGAAGCTACAATAACCCAATATTTGGCTTTTTCTCACACCCTTTCGGCCGGTTCGTTGACCCACTCACTGGTCGGAGCAGTGACAGTGTTGGCGAATATTGATCCGATTGGAGGGGCAAGGACAAGTGGACGGGCAGTCTGGCCCGCGGCGCGGCGAGTGCGAATGTAGGCAAACGGGCTAATCCGCCACCCGGTGCCGCACGGTGGAACGACTATTTCGGAGAGGTTGGACGTGAAATCACTGACCAAAACTGTATATTGCAAAGTTCGTTCCGTCAGGATATAAATCAGCCTGATGCAAACTTCAGCTACAGCAAGAAGACCGTCCTTTCTTATACAAAGTGGCTCAAAAAGCACGGTTAGCGCAAGTCTGAAATATAATCTTAACTTCACACTATGCGTAAGAAATGCGTGTTTATTGAAGCATTCCGCTTCAGAAACGGACGGTCGCTCTATCCGACCCTTGCGCAATGGGGATGCTACACAATATTCTAAGGGCTGCATACGCAGCGAATCCGTCGAATGTATCATGGGAGACGAGATCCTCCTTTCCTAAGCTTAAAACTCACAAAGCGCGTCAGTTGTGTGGTTACGGGCTTTTGGAGATTCTTATGGCTGCATACACGGCTAATTGGTCGAGCGCATCATGTGAGTCGAGATCCTGCACTTGTGAGTTTAAAACTCACAAACCGCGGAAGTTGTGTGGTTACGTGCTTTAGGAGACCCTTAGGGCTCTAAACACGGCTAATCGGTCGGATGCATCATGTGGGACGAGATTTTTCACTTGTGAGATTAAAACTCACAAACCTTGGAAGTTGTGCGGTTATGTGCTTTTACAGATTCTATGGGCTACTTAGACAGCTAATCGTTCGGGCGCATCATACGAGACGAGATTTTTCACTTGTGAGTTTAAAACGCACAAAGCGCGGAAGTTGTGTGGTTACGTGCTTTTGCAGATTCTTAGGGCTACATACACGGCTAATCGGTAGGATGCATCATGTGACACGAGTTCTTGCACTTGGGAGTTTAACACTCACAAAGCTTGGAAGTTGTGCGATTACTTGCTTTTGCAGATTCTATCGGCTGCATAGACGGCGTATATCGGTCAAACGCATCATACGAGACGAGATTTTTCACTTGTGAGTTTAAAACACACAAAGAGCGGAAGTTGTGTGGTTACGTGCTTTTGCAGATTCTATGGGCTGCATAGACGGCTAATCCGTCGAATTTATCGCGTGAGACGAGATCTTGCAGTTGTGAGTTAAAAACTCACAAAGCGCAGGAGATGTGCGATTAAGTGCATTTAGAGAATTTAACGGCTGTATTCACGGCTATTTGGTCGTACACATCATAGGAGACGTGATTTTTCACGTGTGAGTTTAAAACTCACAAAGCGCAGATGTATTGCGGTTACCTGCTTTTGGAGATTCTAAGGGCTGCATACACGGCTAATCCGTCGAATGTATAATGGGAGACGACATCCTTCATTTCTAAGCTTAAAACTCACAAAGCACAGAAGTTCTGTGGAAACTTGCTTCCAGAGAGAGACCCTTGACTGCATACGCGGTTAATCGTACGAACGCACCATGCGAATCGAGATCTTTCATTTCTAACACTAAAACTCATAAAGCGCGTGCGTTGTGTGGCTACGTGTGTTCCCGCCATTAAGACTTATGAGCTGGAACGGTCTGGGCCACGGTAGAAGGGGTTGCCATGGTTGTGGATGAATAGATTTGAATTACTTTTTGCAGTCGAAGCAGAGAAAAAAGTTGTTGATCGTTACAATCCCTGTTATAACCCTTTTATAAACCTTTTTGATCTTTTGTGAAGAAAAGCTTT